TGGCCACAATCTGTACCTTCATAATTTCTCTTTCCTCAACTGTCCCCACCACCCCTCTGCTCCTGGCTCCCAGAAAAGTAGCCAAGCTTTACTTCCCAGAGCAAATAGAAGCCATTAGATAAGAAATCCCTAAAGGTCAGCCACCAGACATGAAGAACCAGCTACCCTCACCCAGCCTCCCCACCTTCTCTTCCGCTCCAGTAGAGGAGGCGTCCAGGGCCTCTCCAAAGCCAATCCCTTTGGGTTCCAACCCTCCCTTCAAGCACCTCACCCATCAATCAGTCCCTCTCTCTCCAACATCACAGACCCCACCCTCTCCACTGGCTCCTGCCCATCTGCATTTAAAATGGGCTCAAGTCTCTCCCACTTAAAAAAGAAAACAAAATCTCCCTTGGTTCCACTTCCTCTTCTAGCTTACACTCCACTTCCTGCTCCCTTCATTACCTAACATCTCGAAAGAGCTGACTCCACCATTTCCACTTCCGCCCTCCTCAGCCCCCACCTCTCTGACACTGCTCTTGCTAAGATGACGAGTGCCCTCCTTGGTGGTAAGCCCAGAGGACTTCCAGATACTGTGACACAGTCAATTCCCCTCTCTTTCTGGAACTCTCTCTTAAATGTCCTCTCACCTCTCCTGATGCCCCTTCTCAGCAGCTCCTCACCCATCATTTGTTAATGAAAGATGGAGGCTCCCAGAATCCAGCCCTTGGCCCCTTCCCACGCTGCACCTGCTCCCCATAGGTGCTCACCAGCTCCCATGGCTTCCTTTCCCATCCTCCTGACACTGCTTCCTAAATCAACAGCTCCTTCCAGATTATCTTTCCCCTGAGCTCCAGAAACAAGACCAACCACCCCTGGACATCTCTGCTTCCCTCAGACCCAGCATCTCCAAACATGAACACAAAACATTTGTCCCCGAAATCTGCCTCTCCTTCTGTACCTAAGAATGGAACCACCATCCACCCTGATGCCAGCCAGAATCATGGAATGGAGTTTTCCCCATGATTTATAGAGATACCAAGGGGGTGCTCTGTGGAGGCTGCCCCTCTCCCCTGCAGGTCCACCAAGTGATTCTCACATTGGAATCCGCAAACTGGAACTAAGAGAGCCAGATGTAGCAGCTCCCATGAGGAGGGTCCTGCCATGACACTTTCCAAATCCAGAACCCAAGGCTCCTGTGCCCAGACACTGACAGCTGCCACCAGCCCCTCAGCCTCCTCTTCCTGGGTCTCAGATCCTCACATGTTTACGTTTATAAGTAGAAATTCATTCCTCCTGGTTACAGTCCAGTCTTGTGGATCAAGGGTCCTTTTCTCTCTTTAGGTGACTTTGCCAAACTCTGCTCTGATCCAGCTATGTTGATGCCACAGTGTAACAAAGCTCCAGGGGCAATCCTGTGCCCCCTTTTCCTAGTGCCTGAAGGGGGCCTCACTGACACCCCACGTCTGGCTATGGTGGGGCCTTAATGCCTCCCTTTCCTGTGCCCACGGTGCCAAGACAGCCGCTCTACCTCTCACTTCTCTCTCTCTTGCTGCCTCACTCCTCCAACATCTGCCTGAGTCACTGCCTCCACCTCGTCCTGGTCTCCCTAAATCATCTGAAGTCTCTGCCAATCTAGTCACCACCCAAAGCCAAAGCAACCTTACCCCCACACAAATTTGAGCTTGTCACTCCCTTGTTGGAATCCCTTCAATGGTCCACAAATGCTCTCAGAATAAAGTACAGCCTTCTGACATGGCCTACAACGTCCTATGTGACCTGCCCCTACCCACGTCCAGCTTCATCCTCTCCGTTCTGTCTCCCTCTCATCGCTCTAGCTGTGCAGAGCTGGTAACATAGGCACATACAAGACTTCGAGAAACAAATATTAGTTGAATGAACTTATTTCCTAAACACACAACACTCTTTCCAGCGTCTGTGCCTTTGCCCAGGTAGTGTGTTCCACTCTTCCTTCTGCACGTCCACAGGCTGCTGCTTCCAGATCGCATAGGTCTCACCTCAGCATCCCCTCCCTGGGCCCAAGGGTCTGGAACACTGAGCTGTGTTATTTCTTTCCTACAGACCGGGGTCCTCTAAGGCCACCTCTAGTCCTGTTTCTTCATCCTCTGGCCTCAGCATAGGGCCAGGTCCAGAGTTATTGATCAGATAATGTTAGTTGATTGGGAAAAGAGAGACCTCATCTGGCTCCCAAAGACTGGGTTGATTTGAGAGGAAGGAAGAGCAGTAAGGAAGCAAATGCCTCAGGGTGTTTTGCAGCAAGAAAACCTCTACAGTGCTTTAGCACCTGACATCCATCTGCCCAGCAGTTTGCAAAGCACCTGTACTTGATCTCTTCTGATCCTCTTCTAACCCAGTGAGGTAAAAAGGCTTATCTCCACGTTATTGACAAGGAAAGGGAAGCCCAGAGAAGAGGCACAGTGAAGGCCCATGATCAACACTGCTGAGTGAAAATGAGCCAGATCCCCAGACCAGGGCTCTTCACTGCACAGCACAAGGGCAAGGGGAGGGTCCCAGCCATGGGTGGGGCCAGAGAAGAGGCCAATGCAGTCTCAGGAGATCACCTTTCCCAAGCTGGGAGCTGGCATTTCCCCCTCTGACCCCACCTCCAACACAGGCACACAGACACACACAGGTCAGATTCATGGGCCAACCTCCAGCCAAAAATATGGCTGAGCACCACCTATGTGTAAAGTCCTCCCTGGGCCCCGAGTGGAATGAGGGGGACCCTACAAGAATAGGACATGACCCCGCCTCAAGAGGACCCATTCTGAGAACTGAGGAGGATCACAGGTAGATGCTTCCAGGGCCTCTAGTCTGTAACTGGAGATGAGAAGGGAGAAGTTAATCCTGATGGACAGCTCTTCCCAGCCCCGGGCCCTTCCTTCCACCACCAGTCCTCCTCCTTCCCATCCTATCCCGTCATTGCCAGGCCCAGCATTCAAACATCAGTCATTCTGTATGGACTGATCGTGTCCTGAATGAAAAGGCACAAGTCCTGGGCCCAGTCTTGTCTCAGTTCCTTAGCTACCACATGGACATAAGCAAACACCTTGCCTTTCTGAACCTCAATTTCCTTGTCTTGACGTTAGAAAAAATAATCCCTCTCCTCCCTCCCCATTTCTCAGGCTCAGGTGTGGCTCTGACCGAGAGCAGAAGTGCCAAGCCCTGGAGGAATGCAGAGGTGTGGGGGCTGCCAAGACTCCCAGGAAACCTTTGTAGCTCCCAAGAACAACAACTTCTCTAGCCCTGCCCACCAGTCCCAGCACCAAGACCCTTCAGTTACTGTGTTAGAACCAAGAAGCCAGAGCTAAGCTGTGTTCCAGGCCCTCCACACACTCTCAAGGTGGAAGGCAGGGGCATTTGGGGGAAAGAGAACAGCCAGATCTGACATGGGGGTGGGGGAGCCAGGTCCCTGTCCTAGGGAAGCCCATGGGCTGAGGGCAAACCCAGGCTTCATGAAGGCAAGTAGAAGTGGAGAGGACATGAGAGGGAAGGGATTGAAGGTCTCCTTAAGTACCTCTCATACCCCCATTAAGGTAGGACATCAACCTTCCCATGACCTCCTTGTGGACTTAGCAAAGCCTCTCCCAAACCCCTCCTGGTCCCTCCGCTTGTCCTCTCCATCACTCTATCTCCTCTGTCGACTCCCCTCCCTTCTCTCCAACATTCACTGTTTGTTCCTTTGGTGATGCCTGCTCTGTGCCAGGCTTTGTGTGGGACCCTGAGGGTATGGCGATGAATCTCATCAGATTTCCATCCTCCAGGTCTAGTGAGGAAGATGAACCAGTAAGCAGAAGATGACAACCCAATGGGATAAGTGGTGAGATAGAGGATGGGGCTGATGCTCAATCCTGGTTAGGCACCCCACCTAGCCTGGGGCAGGGAAGGCTCTGGTGTCTGTTTTCCCCTCTAGACAGGAAGTTCCTTGAGAACAGGGCCTGGGTCTAATTCATCTCCCAGACCCACCCTTTCCTTTGCTGAGTGTCTCCATGATGCATGTAGGTTACCAGGCCATCCTGAGAGGGTCATTATTTGAAGGGGGAAGAATAAGCCTGGGCAGTCCTCACCCGGAGGTCCAGCTCATTCCCAGCATCAATCATGGAGGAGAGACAATTCCCTAGACTGTGAATGGGAAAGTGTACTCAGGAGGTGGAAGAAGTCATCACGCCTCTCTCTGAGCCTTAACCTCTGGCTTCCCAAACCTGGCTGCAGATCAAAACACTTGGGATGTTTGCAACTTCAGACTCCTAGTTCCAATATGGTAATTAGGATCTGCAGGGGCCAGAGGCCCAGAAATCTGCTTCTCCCAGTTGATTCCAAGCAGGTGTCCCTTGCCCTGTGTTCAGTAATCTCTGGTCCAGATCCCCATTATGGCAGGGAGATAAGAGGTGTTCCTGACATTGGGTGCTAAGGTGGGCCCCACCACCACAAGATAACGGGGCAGAACAAGCAAGGATCTGAACCCAGGAAGATGCCACAGCTCCCAAGCCAGCCCAGAGGTGTGGCAGGGAGAACCCCACCTTCGGGGCACCAACTGCTCAGACGCTCAGGGAGGTCTCTCAGGTGACAGCACTCATCTCTGCCTTCACTTTCCTTTTCAGCCTTAAAAATGGAAATCTTTATATTGCACAGAACAAAGTGGGCTTTGGTCACCCTCTAAACAACATTGCCTAGTTCTATCGGACTGTCCAGGGGATTTCTCCCCAACACTCTTGCTGAGCCCTTAGCACAGCGTTGCCTGAACCTTGGCCCTCAGAATGATGGGAAGGAGTCTGCGGCCTGCTTGGGCCCCAACTGTGAAGTGCTCTCCATCTGAGGCCAGCTCAGAAGGCAGCAGTGAGGGGGAGATCAGTGGAAAGCTGAACGGGAACCATGTCTCCAGGACGTCATCCCCCTGCTCAAACATAGGGTCTCCCTCCATGGCCCCAGAGGATCAAGCCAGATTCCATGAAGGAAAGGAGGCCATTTTCTTTCTCTGCCCCTCTCTCCCCTCCACGTACCTCGAGGGAGTGTCCGAAGAGCCAGTGGGTGGGGGGTCCTGGGAAGCTGTCCATAGCCCTGGCCAGCTTTTGCCTCCGCAGCAGCAGACTAAGGAGCTTGAGGAAGCCTAAGACCAAGATCAGTCCAGAAGCCCACAGACCCAGGCAGGACACACTCAAGGAGAGCAACACAGGCACCATGGCTGGAGATGCAGCCACCCAGTCTCTGGTCTGCCTCCTGCTGTCCCAGTGTTCCCTTATACTCTAGACCCAGGCACCTGCCAGCTCCCACCCCCAGGCACGCCCTGAAGCCAGCAGCAGCCAAGGCTAGGCTGAGCTCCACAGGGTGGAGACAGCAGCCTCAGGAGGCACAGACAACAGAGGAGGCAGAACTCAGCTGTGGACTTCAAAGAAACCAGGCAATGGGTGTCTGGCCTTGGTTCCATGGAGGAGCACAGAGAAGGCAATTCTTTTTTTTTTTTTTTTTTTTTTTTTTTTTTAAAGATTTTTATTTTTTTCCTTTTTCTCCCCAAAGCCCCCCAGTACATAGTTGTATACTTCTCGTTGTGGGTTCTTCTAGTTGTGGTATGTGGGACGCTGCCTCAGCGTGGTTTGATGAGCAGTGCCATGTCCGCGCCCAGGATTCGAACCAATGAAACACTGGGCCGCCTGCAGCGGAGCGCGTGAACTTAACCACTCGGCCACGGGGCCAGCCCCCAGAGAAGGCAATTCTTGGTGTGATCATCACCTAATAACGACTGCCTTTTCATCTAAGCACCTTGTATGTTTCATGTACTTTCTAGACACTATCTCATTTAACCCAAACAAGCAGGTCATAGGTACTTACTCTTTATACCCATCTTCCAGATACTGAAACTGAAGCTCAGCTTACCTGTCCTTTCTTACAAGAAAGCTTCCACTGTCCCCATCGGTATGCACAGCTAGATGTGTTGCATTTATGTCAGGCCCATGATGCTCTGAGTCCTTTGTTGTGAGACACTTTCAGGGACAAGATTCTAGCCCCAGAAGGGAGATCCTGGGTCAGAAAGAAGCCAACTCCACCCCCAAGACCACAGTACAAACTTGACATCTAGGAACATAGGATATTACTTTCAGAGTGATAAGGAGAAATCATCACATTCAATTACTCCTGGATTGATGGATCGAGACACTTGGGCCCAGAGAGGGGCAGGGAATAGTCCAAAGGCTCACAGCAGGGCAGTGGCAGCTCTCAACTCCCAATCCCAGGGTTCTGTTGAAGAACAAGCTTGGCCCAGGCCCCAGGCTTGCCTGGGGAGATTCTGTGGTTTCTCCCTCCAGTCTTGGGTGGTAACAGTCAGCATCCCACGGGAAACAGAATTCACTGCTGATGGTTGAGATGAAGAGACTTGGATGCAGGGCTCCTTTGAGAGGGGAGGCAGAGTCAGGAATCAAACAAGGTATGATGGGGCATCCAGAGAGGAGCAATAGCAGAGGCCCATCGACATCCCTAGGCTGAAGGAACAAGAGAGGAAACAGCGTTGCTGGAGCCTGGTGGAGGCAGCTATTGCCGGAGAAGGGAAGACAGAGCAGGGAAGGAGCAGAGAAGAAATGTGCCAGCCTTTCCTCTCCCACCTCCAGTCTCTTCCTGGTGTCTCCTATCAGCCAAACCCAACCAGCAGTGAGAGGGCAAGGGAGGCTTGGGCAGTCAGTGTTAGGAAATCAGCTTCCCAGCAGGGCAGAGAGAGCAAAGGCTGGGCCTGGCATGGAGGTGGCAGGGGGAAAACCAGCAAACAGGTGGACTTGGAACTCAATCTCAGAGCTCAGATCGCAGGTGTGACTCAGAGAATGGTAAAGTGTCAACATGGCCTCCCCACCTCTGTTGAGGGGACACCACATCCCTTCCTGCACATAGGCAGAGAAGGCAAGATGACAACTCTCCAAGGGACTTCCTGAAATTCTGCATTCGTGCTTTGTGTCCCTAGATCGAGACTTGAGTGCCCCAGGAAAATGCAAGTCATCCAGGTCAGAGAGTAAGGGAGCAGGAAGAGCTATTAGCAGACGTCCATGCTTTACGGTGAATTTGTTGATCAGCGTGGTCTCAGCTCGGCAGGGTAATGAAGGCAGTGTTTGGGGGAGAGCCTCAAGGAGCTCCCACCGACGAAAGAGCCACGGCTCCTGGCAAGGCCATTTAGGACTCCCCTGGGAAGTGAATAGGGCTAGCCTAGAAGGTGGTAAGTCGGTGTTGTGGACCTTGGCTGAATGACTCCCAGCGTTCATTCCCTGCTTCCCCTGTCCAACCAGTCCGCAAATTCGTTGGCTTTGGGTGCAGTGGGACTGGCCTCACCAACACCAGCATGGGCCCATATTTATTCAGGACAGTCTGCACTGAGCTTGCCCACACTGATGTTTCAAAGGTAGGCACATGACCAAAGTCAGTCAATCAGGGTGATTAAAACTCGATTTCAGTCTTTAATTTAAGCTCCCTGGAAGCAGACTCTCTCTGCAGTATTGGATTTGAACCTGGAAGCATGTGTTCTCATGAGCCATCCGTGTGGGGAGAGTCAGACAAGAAGGTACTGTGTGCCAAAGGACCTGAACTGAGAACTAGACAGAGAGAAACTAAACACTCATCACATTGTTCAACCTCCTGGATCAAGTTTCACCTGGCGCTAGGAGTGCCTCCAAATATTTGAATTATGTGAGCAAATAAATCCTCTTTATTGTTCAAATTCAGTTTGAGTTAGGTATTTTGTTACCTGAAACCAAAGGAGTCCTAAGTGGTATACTGGGGAAAGCCCAGGAAAGTGGGCAAGGCTTGGTTAAGTTGAGCTGAAACCTGCTTGGGGGCTAGCCTGTGACAAACTGAATGGAATTACCTGGGAAGGGACAAGTGAGAATAACGTGGTAGCCTCTGAGCAGTGGGGCTAGCCTGGGAAGTGTTGAGAGGGCTCATAGAGGAATTCTAAGTGAGATTAGCTTGAGCAAAGCTCCCTTAAGAGGGAGCAAGAAACGATCTGGTTATGGAGAAAGTGAAGGGCATGGCTTGGAGGGGAAGCAAACATCTGAGGTATGTGAAGCAGAAACACCATGGGGAGGAGCAGTCAGGACATTGGAATGTCAAGAACAGAGTTAACATGAGCCTCAAACAGAACAGAAGAGTGAAGAGACTGGACTTTGTCTTCCATGCTGACAGGAGCCACAGAGGGGTCTTAGAGGAACAGAGGTGGTCAGAGGTATGTTCCAGAAAGATCTCCGACTTTGTCTGTGCAGTAGCTCTGAGCTGACCTGGTGTGGAAGGGGCCAGGAGCCTGAGTTGGCAAGCAGGAAGAAGAAGTCAGAAGAAGGACCAGCAGGGTAGACATTCTTTATGTCCTTAAAGTTATTGCATAACTTCTCTTGAGAGAAATATTGCCCAGCACTCATGGTCTATTTGTCATACACATGGCTGAAATATGTCAGTCATCCCCACTTCTAGAGCTGAGGACAGGTCACCATGTGGCCAGAATCAGAGACTCCACAGCAGCCAACTCCCGGGTCCTGATCCTACCAGCTATTCCTCCAGCTACCTTGGTAATGTGATTCTTGGAAGCCAAGATGTGCCTCGTTGAAGCTTTCACCCACTGGTCTAAACTCTACCCTCAAGGCCCCCATGGAAAATGTCAGCCATAAGGAAAAGCTTATAGATGAGCCCCACTGCCGTAGTGTGCTTGTCAGGAAGATGGAGACCGTCAGACTGCCTTTATCCAAATGCTTTCCTGTTCTCCTCCAGAAAGACTTCCTTCACACCCCTCCTCCACTTCAGAAACACCAGTTAGAGCCAGTCTTCTGACTCTGAAGACTTTGCCTGCAACTCTTCTTGGATTTGTTGACCTTTTCCCTCATGGCAGGTTTCGGAGTGTTTGTCTTGTCCTGAAGTCTTCCCGTTCTGCTGCAAGCCAGAGCCTGAGCTTGTCTTTCCCTCACTTTGCGTGGCTGAGCTGAGAGAGACAGGATACCAGCACTCAGGGAACCCATTACCAGGCTCCTACAAGAAAAAATGGACCACCTTTGAGGGTTGTGCAGGCACTGAGGTTTGCAGGGTTGAGAGAACATTGGCAATGTGCACCCACCACACCGACCTGCGCATACCCACCCACGACTCCATACCTTCAGAGGAGGGTCCACGTCAGTGTTCTCTCTGCTTCCCCAGCACCCAGCACACAGTGGGCACTTAATAAATAATTGTTTGGTGAATGGATGTTGAAGAGATTGGCTACTATATCGGGGTTTGTGGGGAGGAGAAGGTGAGGAAAGTTTGACTGGCTAATGCAAAATATGCTGGGAATGTCAAACTAGTGTCCTTCTGGACAGCACATTTGGCACCTCTAGTGGCTGGGTCCCAGTAGCCGCTGCCTGATGGGGAGCCCAAAGCTCACCATCATCCTCAACCTGACACCTACTTCAATTTCCCAGGGATGTCAGGCACACTGAGGGAGTGCTGAGTGTGAATTCCTGATAGGGGAAAGGAGGGCCCAGATTATATCCAGGAGAAGAAATGTTGTGTCTAAAACATTCTAGATCGTGTCTGCACATGGGGTCTCCTGGGAATCTTTAGAAATGTCTGATGCCCTCAATGCCTCCCTGTCCTCTGGGCTTTCCCACTCCAGTGTCTCCTGCTCACATGACCTTCTTCAGGGGATGGGGGAGCATCTGGAGGGCATGGCAATGCTCTGTGCACATGGTAAACTTGGTTCACCGGTGAGGGTTCAGCGCCCAAAAAGAATGAGGGGAGGCAGGGGAGATGGCTTCCCCCCACCCCTGCATGTGGAACTTCCCGATCTTTGTGGTCTGCCCAGCTCCTTCCACCTAGGCTGTACTAGCCCATGAGCAATCCCAACCAGCTTTGGCTGAGTATCTTGCTCCTGAAAGTGTGAGATACAGGAGAGGGAGGTGTGGATGGTGTAGATGGGAGAGCAGGAGGGCAGTGAGGAATGTGAAGTGGCTGGGCTGGGCAGGAGTTGGTCACTCTGCAGGCTCTGTGCTGAGTGGAGGCTCTGGAGACGGTAGGGGCCTCCTTCCTAGGTGCACTGATCCACCCAAGGATGGCTTTGTCATGAGTACAGCTAAGGAAGGATGCAGCATGATGGGGGAGGGCATGTCTCAGATCCCTGCTCTTCCAAGGGCACCACCTGGAATAGTGGGATCCTTTAGGTTCCACGAAAAAACTGTGAGCTGTGTGTCACTCTGAAGAAAATGAGTAAGAGATGTGTCCCTGGGAAGGATGCTACAATCTTGGCAAACGGGAGGA